GAATACCGTGAGCGAAATGGCATGTAAGGAGTATTTGGACGAGATTTTAGTTGTTGCAACTGCGCAAAAGGTTGACTATGTTTTGCCGAAATTGTCTAGAACTGCCTTCCTCTTTCGCCATGGCTCATGACAAGTTGTTAGAAGTTCTGACATGGGAGTTCTTTAAGATGGCGCAACCCCTACAAAGCCTTTGAAACTCGTCCATCATGGGTGTGGCATTCACGCGATACAGTCTCTGGCCCCTTTTTATGCCCTATATAGAACGTTTTTCGACTTTATACAGGCAGGTACCGTATAAAGCGACGCCTAGAATCCATACTATGGGGATATTTCCGAAACCATTTTTATCGTGAACTGTGCCTTTGAAGGGAGCATTTCTCACAAACGGAATTGATTCTTTTCGTGTATTACAGTTTCTCTCAATGAAGCATCAATCTGAATTGAAGACATACGTGGGTCAAGTCCCCCAAAACCGTGTGTAGAGGTTGGAGAAAGCTTAGGAGTGCATGAAGTACCGCAAAACTTTTGTATAATATTTTGTGATGTTAATATTTAACTTCATATTGTTGTCTAGAAATTAAGGTTGCTCAAGTGGGCCTCTATAAAAGGGCTACGCTCAGAAACTTGCAGATTCACAGCGGCATGTTAATAGGTGGGAAAGTTAGATGGCGTGAATGCGCAAGTTTGAAAGCATTGGGAGAAGACAGTATCCAAAGAAGACGTTAGTCGTGGCAGTGTAGGTGAATCAAAGGTCAAGTATTTTGTGTGTACATCTCACACTCGATTGAGCATCTCTCGGAGTTGTTTTGAGCTTCATTGTTTCAAACGGAACCTTCCTCAACTTCATGGTCGATTTCAAAAAGAAGCTCTCTTTTGGATCGACTTTGAGTTAGTTCACGTGAGAATGTTTGGAGCAAAGTGAAAGGAACCTCGTCGATTGCCCATTTGACAGCACGGCTATTTTCTTTCCTGACCATTATGGNCAGCCCATATCACGCATAAAGTATTTGAAGCTACATATATTCTAACTTCAACACAAAAGGAAGTACGCAAACATTGGAAGCTTCGTCATTCTTCCATTTTATCACGCGGGGAGATTTTAAAAAGTTTCGGCTCTTCACGAAATTCGATTATCCCCCAAAACGGTGAACTGCAGAACGTAAAAGGTTCGCTGAGCTCTCATTCTTCTCCCCTTGAATACTTATTGCTTACATTTCACCCGCACCCGTACTGGTTCGGCTTTGGAAATCTCTTTAGTTCTAACACCTCTACAGAGGCATTTTTGATAATGTTAATGTAGACATCTATGTTATGAAAGTCCATCCTTCTCTTCCATTTGTTATGTAGCCTACTATAGAGACATCAGAATGTATTCGTTTTTTTTTTTCGAGAGGATGGCGTAAATGGGCAAAAAAGCTTATTTTTGGGCAAGATACGAGCTCATACTTGTGCTCTAAGGGCACCGCGATGTATGATCCTTATATTACCAGAAACTCCTGGACTGATCAGTCGTAGACTATCAGCACCCTCGTGCAGCGTCGTGAGTATTTTAGCCCATGTTGACCATGGACAGTGAAGCTGCACGTTTTTGATGCTGGCTTTTGGCACTTGGCCATTTCAAAGCAAGGTTCAATTTGTCCTTCCTTCAATCCGCGCAAGATCTATAATTCACAAAGCGTGTCTGGTGGTGTGTGCGTGCGTTGTGGGCAAGGGGTGGAGGGAGTGTGGGTAGTGCAAGGGGCGTATGGGCGGATGATACTGGCGATTGAAAAAACACGATGATAAGTGGAAGGAAGTGATAGCAGCTGATACTCGCTGACAAGAGCCAAAGCCACTGGATTTGTCACGCCTTTGTGTTAATGGCAAAGCTTGGCTCTTTGTAAGGATGGAGGTGTGAAGGAATGGTCACTGATAGAAGCTGATAAGAACGGAACGGCTATTAAAAGATCTCGGATATTGAGGCTGCTGAATGCATTATTATTCTCGAATGTTTTGGGTATTTTATTGGATGATGAAGGGTACAGTGGGGTTGCTGAAGACGAAAAAGTGGTTGCAATGAGGGCTGATAAAAAGTCTTAGGCAGCAAAAACCGTAGGCTCCGTAGAGCCTCTAGACCTTTAGTGCCGGAAGAAGAATAATGCCGCCTTGGTAGATGATATGGGGTGCGACGGGATCGAGGATGTCTTTTGAGGGGAAGTGTTTGCCCAAAATCGGTGGAAACCGGCGCCAAGTTGAAGACACTGCATTACGTAGGCGTTGGCTGAAAAAAGCCGATTTTGGCTCCATTTTTCATTCCAGTTGACTCTGGAATTCTATGAAAAGGGAGTGCTGCCTTAAAGTTAACCTCATTCGGAATGTTTCATATAATTCACATTGGGCATATTCGGTTCTGATTGCTTTTGTATTTACGTCTTATAGCAAGGTGGCAGCGTATTCCTGTTGGACTGCTTCCGCCTTTTATAATTTTTCTACTACATATGAATTTTTAAAAAACACACATTCTAGAAAGTTCATCCGTCACGGCAATCAGTTCTTTTCTTCTTCTGAAGGACCTATGGAGAACTTATGACACTATCGGTTGGTTTTTTTTTTTGATCATTGACAAATTTTCGGATGATACAATTTTTGAAGAAGGAACAATTTTTCAAAATTGCCTGTGCCTTCATATCGAATATATTAAAAGTCTTCTCATCCCTTCATGAGCTTTTAAGCGAGGCACTCCAACATAAGAATAGCTTTCCAAAAGAGGTAGCGGCTGGTCCTACGTTTATACGGACGAAGGTGGTTGGGATGAGCAACGGAAGGCGAATGTTGGAAAAACCAGGGGCTCAAAGGCTGTACTTATTAAAGCATGGCGTGGGGCCCGTTAAAGCGATTGCTAAACACTGTGAGGTATCCTTGGGGAATAATACTGTTTCCATGTTCAAGCAGAGAAAGCGCGGTGTGATTTTCCTGCCTACCATGAAACTCAGCGAGCGGCTGCTGCTTGTTACTAGTAACAACACGATGGAACCTCTAGATGAAGACAGGGTTTTTCTTTCAAGATTCTAAGATTTTTTCTCTTGATCGTGCTATTCGTATGCAAGCGAATTCTTCAGACACTTTCGTCTCCTGCGTTTTAATCTTTAGTATTTCTCTCTATTTGCAATGCATACGTAAATGGATTCACATTGAAAGTCGCATTTGATTCTGCAGGGTGATGCATGGCGCACCATTCATGCGGCTGACCCCATCATCTCGGTGACGGAATCGCTCGTCTCTTCTTCATCTTCTTAAGTATTCAATGGGTGGAGTATTTATAGATAGCCCAGTCATGATGATGGAAAAGTCTTGACAAAAGCGTTGTCTGCTTCCCGTCCTATCTGGATCTGGGGGAGGCGTTCAATTGCCTATCCCTACCATTGCTCTGCAAAGCGCTCGGAGGATGTGATTAAGAGCGATAAGTGAAAGATGGCCATACATTCTTCGCGGCTTAGCAAAAGCAATAGACTTAAGGATTGAGATTCAACAATGATTATCTGTGGGCTTAATCTTCCTCCTCAATAACACTGGACCCACCAAAAAACGATTTATCGATGAGCAGCAAAGACGATCCTTCGTTTTGACTTCATTAATCGTACTCGGTAAGGGATACGGTAGCAAAAGCACTATGACTATGACTTCATTAATCGTACTTGGTAAGGGATACGGCATGGAGAGAGTGCAGTACCTCCGGGTATCAACCTACCTGTTGGCAGTAGCTTAGAATCGGCATGAATAATGTAGAAGAAGTTCACTGTAATCTCTGCAATCGACAGAATTACAGGAAGCTCAAAGGAAGGTCGTAGGCAAAAGTGGTAAATCCCACAATGTACCCGGCAGAGAGTGCTCGTTTCTCGACAAAAACAATGAAAAACAAACTCACTTTGCGGAAACTAGTGCGCTGATATCGGTCTGTAGCTGAACGCAACTGGACCGGTTCAGAAGCGAACACGTCAGACAATCACGAAAGCAGCGCCTCTTCAGAGGAGGAAGAGAGAGCAGTGTCTCCGATGGCGTGGATACGTGCTGCGAAGATCACAAATTCATCCCTGTTAGTGGAGCAATGAATCTTTGAGCTCAGGGAAAGGCATTTAGGAGTCTTAAGGAAGAGGGTGGCGGGTGACGTGAGAAAAGGCTATAGATCAAAGGAAACAGCGACGACTAACAGGAAACGCCATCCCTGCAACGGCGCGGAACTCTATACAGGAACAAACTGAAAAAACTTATTTATCTCTGTCATCTCGTCTGTATTGTTTCCAAATACTTGCCAGATATTTAGAGTTCGTTGAAATGCTACCTAGAAGATAGTCAAATTTCACCGCTTACTGAAAATAACGACTAGGTGAGCTGCTGGAACTTCATGAACAGTCCAAAGAACGACATACTAGCTAGACGTCATACATGGAAGAACATCATAGTAATGCTATGATTCTACGAAGGAGAGGATTGTATGCTGCGAACTCTACGCCGGATATGGTAGAAGATTCCAACGCCTCACTCTCTGTGGACACAACCGCAAACAGATACTCATTCATCTGCTCGCGACTTCAAATTCAGCCAAGAAACTTCTCAATAGCCTAGCTACAAGACAGAATGATTTGCATTTTCTACCTCATAATGCTGTGTCTCCTCCATTTGATTATTTTGGAGGCGGACAATTGAAACAGTCAGGGTCGTGATCTTGCTGCATTTCAACTTCTTCACATTCCCTGACTGCTGCTATTTTAAGACAAAATAACTAAAAATGTGTCTGATCAGTTACCAGTCATTGTGTGCTGCTCGGCAAAATCAGCTACAGATGAAAGGATGAAGAACACGAGCATATTCCATAGTACCACATAAATAAATAACCTTAATTATAAATAGAAACAAACAGCTTCAGTAATTAATCTCCATTGCCTAATTAGATTTCTAATGTTCGAGGTGACTTTTGCTAATGTTCGAATTGAATATCAGTGGCACGAATCTAAGAGATTTAGATGTCTTCCGAAGACTGTTCGCGCAACGAGAGCTATGACTTTGCTCGCTATGCAGTTATCGTCTACATTGGCACTCCGATAGCGTTGGCCGGTGTTGTCTGCAACTGCATCCTTCTGGTGAGATCGCTTTAATTCAAGTCGGATTAAATGGATTCTGCAGTGATTCCTCAAAGCTCTCAACAAGTCATCATTGGTGATTAACATAAGATGCACAACATGAAACGGAATACGACTTGCATAATCAGCAAGATAAGGAATAACGTGTCTTGTACTACTGGGTTTAAACTCAGAAATGCTCAATGATGGTGTAATTTTCAGCGACTGTTCTCAAAATGCCGATCTAGGAGATCGCCAACGCTCTATTTGCTGGTGCTCGCAATATTTGGTGAGTCTTCTCTTCATCATGGAAAGTAGTAAGGGGATTCATAAGATTCCATGTGCAGAATAGCCAGAATGGATTAATGATGATTACAAGAATGGTCCATTTCAAACTCTCTGTAATATGTTTACATATAATATTTATATGAACAAATATGTATGTATGTATGTACAGTGGCGGCCAAAAGTCTTCGGTGAAACGCTTTTTCAACCGAAACTTTTTTCCTGGTAGAGGGATTCGAGGAAAATTTTGATATGTCAATCCTTACCTTTATCAAACCAGTTTATACTTTTTGGCTTCAGAACGGGTGAATAGATGACCACGCGCAAAGGTTCTACTACAGAAGAGGTTTTTCTGATTGCGAGGTTAGCGATAATTGCATTTTTTGCATCACTTTTGTGCTCGACGTTAAACTTGTACACTCAAGGCATGCACAGAAGGGCCGTAGCCACTCACAATTAGAGAGTCCGGCTGGCAGCAGCAGACACGAAGGAATCGGGCATGAAAGTCACGGTCACTTCAAGAATTTTGAAGGACCCACTGCAGACAATGTCTTCAATTGCCACATGCTAGCAAGTCGGAAACTCCGCTTCATGCTTAGAGAACGCGAAGACACCGATGTTCTTCATCAATCCAGGACGGACGGATCACACTCCGGTCGAGGGCTGACCCTCTTCTCACTGCAGCTGATGTTGCCGCTGAGTTCAGCGCTAACGGTAGCACTATTGTTTACCAGCAGACTGTACAAAGACCCCTAAACAGTGCTGATGTTTATGGTAGGCTCCAACCAAAAAGCCGTTCATCAGTTCAAAACATAGGAGATATGGAGTGGAGTTTGCGCCTTGTCAGCTCAACTGGACGTCGACTGAATGCAGTAGAGTTCCTTCTACAGGTCGGCGTAAGTTCAAATAGTTGGGAAGCGATGGTATACGCTGCGAACGACGTCCATCTGAGGAAAGGTTCAATGCAAATACACCCTACCCATAGCTAAGCATTTTGGAGGAAGTGTGATGGTATACGGTGCCTTCTCCTCGAATGGGATGGGCCCTATTTTGAAAGTCGACGGCACGATGACAAGAGAGTAGTACAAGAACATGACGGTCGACATCGTCTTGCCATGAACACAGCACCACATGCCAGTAGGATAGATCCTACAGCAGGGTAATGATCTGAAACATTTCTCAATAGTTGTGAAGGCGGCCTTCAGCGAACAGCGAACCATACTTCTATAAGGGTCCAGCCAGTCATCGGATCTGAAACCAATAGAGCACATTTAGGGAGAGTTCGAAAGGTGTTTTTCGAGCAAACTTCGTGAGAACGGCGAAGAAAAATCCGCTTAATAAGCGAAGAAGGGAACGCTGTGCCAGTGTCTGCCATTCAAAAACTAGTCGACTCGATGCCTTCCCATTGCGATGCTATCATCAAAAGTCGAGGCCTTTCGACGAATATCGATGTTTTTGATGTCTTACATCTGTATTTTCCATTGAGTTTGAGTTAACCCGTTGACGACCGCGTGGCCCGCCTTCGGGCCACACCATATCGTGCTCCTGTAGTATTTATATTATTTATCAAGTGTTCTTATAATTTTTTTCTGTTTCCAAGTATCAACTGAGCTCACAGCCGTCTAGAGAATCTTGAGGCATTGTGGTCCAGGAATCAATCATTTCCAACTACTTATAAGAGAAATTAAAAGGTAATGTGAAGACAGTATAAAAGGCGCGGTCGCCAATGGGTTAAATCTCACTAACGTAGTGTAAAAAATAGCAAATTGCACTTCAATAGCGGTGAGTATTCATGTTATACCTTCGATTAATATACTAGATTTTCATGTGATTTTATGAAGTAGAAAAAATTTTACGAAAAGTTCTGAAAAAGCGATTCACCGAAGACTTTTGGCCGCTACTGTATGTATGCATGCATGTATTTATTCGCGTATATGTTGAAGTGAAGTGACGATTCTACTTTTTTGAAGCATTTCTTTCACTCACCGTTGATAATATCAGATCTTCTCATGGATTTGCTGTACATACCGTTTTTCACGGTGGATGCTCTTGCAATCTACCATCAGAACGAATTTCTTTACCATACGTGGCATGTATACGCGATGTTGGTCTTTGGTACAAGTCGAATGGGTAAGACTTCAAGTCTCGGCAATTGCTTCTTTATAATGAAATCCCATCTTATCCAGATTCCTTATACCATGTTGACTGGATTCCATCCGAATCGCTTATACGATTCGCCATTCAATTTTCTGTTCCACCACAGGGACTGCCTTAATTTATCTACCTCCCTGAAGAAATGTAGTTTATACTTGCTCATGGAATGACGTCTTCTAAGTCGTTATCAACCCTTTCACAACTTAGGGAACAATGGCCTCCCCATAGCGTCAAAGTGTCACAGTGAAAACTCCTAGCCCTGATGTCGTGAGAGAACTTTTCGTATGCCATCCAATCGCGTTCCTGAAGATTTCTTAGGTTTTCTATCCCGTTTAAAAGTTCTTGAATAATCTACTGATACTCCACAATCCCAACATGAGCCTATGTAATTCGATAACCTTGGTATTTTGATCCGATTCTTCTGTGCTTTCTGTGCTACCTATCAGGACCCTTTCAACTTCAGTTCAATTTGCCTCTACATACATGGTCCTGTGCGCAACAATGGAAAGATTCATTGTGGTTGCGGAAATTCACTCGCTTCAGTCGCTAGTGAGGTGAGTGTTCAAAACACTTCTGACTCTTTACTCAAAGAAAGCTGCTTCCAGGGAAAACGGACGTTATCTCACAATAGGCGTGGTGATCCTCTGTGTTCTTGCCCTCCGGGTTCCTGCGTTTTTCGAGTACGTGATCGCTTTTCGACCTGAGTGCCCGATTTATATGGTGAGGGTGACATTTCATTTACTTATAGTTCTTTTTTTGGAAATTTAAACGGGAAATATCTGCGAGATTTCGTCCTAGTGGCTGCAGATGAAAATGTACGAAAAATGAAAAGAAGTCCTAAAAAACACGAATTATTAAATCAGTGTATTACTTGTCGTCCTGATGATCATCGACTTCCTCAGCGAGCGCTAGTAACGTCTCCATTTGTCTCTGTTGCGAGGCAGAGTAGCCCAGTGGATGGTACTCGCTCGAGTCGTTTAGTCAGTAATCACCGTGGTCCAACGGTTGCTACAAAGTCGCTTTAGTGTCCGGCTCAACTCATCTTTGATTCCTAGGCTTGAGCAACGGCATCCATGAACTTCATTCGTTTGTGGAGCCATTTGCACTAAATCGTGAAATTTTCGAACACCACCCCTTAAAAAGCGCGATGAGTAACGCTGACCGCATGTTCATCCTGCTTACGTAGAGTCCATGCCTCAGAGGCATCTGTCAAAGCAGGAAGGATCGCGCTGTCGAAATGGTGAGCGCTCAGCCGGATATTTTTCGACTTCATTGCTACTCCCTCAATGTTCTCAAATGCTCCTCACGCGTTACTTTCTGCTCAGCTCGTCAGCTGTGTCGTTCGTCATGTTAACTTCTCGACCTAGATGCACGTAGGTAAACTTTCGATAATTTCATGTACGGGTTTCTATGAGCCTCGGCGTAATTTTATCATTGAGTTTACTGTTCTCTTGCACTCTTCACGAGGTTTTTAAGTATGCTTTATTAGGCTGACGTTTCGGC